ATCTGCTCGATGAGGTACCAGCCACTGACGGTCTGTGGCGATGGACGGACGCCGTGATCACTATTTATTGATATTGATCTCTTTATTTACTTTTATTCATTTCTATTTAATCATTTAGGGCCATTGATGGGAACGCGTGGTGCGGGTCTCTGTCGGGCAAGCTGTACATTTGGGACGTGCGGGACCTGCGCTGCCGTATGGTGCACGAGCTGGGCGCGGTGCCGGTTTGGAGTGTGGTGGAGCACCAGGGCAAGGTGTGGGCCGCGGTGGGTGCCGCTATCGTGCGGTTTGATGCGCAGACCTACGCCAAGATCGACGAGTTGAAGGGGCACACGAAGCCCATCACGTGCCTCCTGGCCGTGGGTGGCGAGGTATATCTAACTCTTCTCTTTCTTGAACGATCGTGTGAGTTGTGTGCGACGCTCAAAGCTTGCCGACGGCAGGTATGGAGTGGCGGCCAAGATCACACAATTCGAGTGTGGCGCGGCTCTGACGGTTCGATGACGCACACCCTTAGCAAGCACTCCCAGTACGCCCGCTGCCCTTCACTCACTTGTTCTACGACTGATGATGAGGCGAAGTAAGAGAATTCACAATGCGCTGTGGCTTTGGTGCGTGTTGGCACAACAACAGGAAGGTGTATTCCCTACTGGCCTACAGCGACACGTGCGTGTGGAGCGGAAGCTGGGACAAGACGATCATCGTGTGGAACACCAGCACCAAGGAACCAACTCAGGTACAGCTCATCCCCTTGGTTCAGGCCTTTACCAGCATGCACGAACCTTTTTTGATGGAAATCGATCACGGCGTGGTACAGGTGTTGCAGGACGTGCATGACGATGCCATCTCGGCTCTTGTGGCCGTTCCCGGCGCCACTCAGCGCGTCTGGTCGGCCTCGTGGGACAAAAGCATGTGCGTTTGGGCGTGAAGGCAGGGTGCAATGCAACACAAGAGAAAATACTGGGGAAAACAATTTTCTTCTTATTTTTACTTGCGTTCCAACCATTCCACCAATACAAGC